TTCTTTAATTCTTCCTATTTTTCCTTCTTCATTTCTTTCCCTTTCCACCGAATTCATGCTTTCTTTCTTATTCTTTTTCCTTCCCCAGTCTTCTTTCTTCCTTATTCCTTTTTTCTTTATTTAATTCTCCCTCTTCTTCCTTCTTAATTTCTTTTAATTTCCCCCTAATTCATGCTTTCTTTCTTTTTCTTTCCTCCGTCTTCCTTCTTTCTTTCTTTAATTCTCCCTCTTCTTCCTTCTTAATTTCTTTCCCATTCCCAAACTTCATGCTTTATTTATTCTTCTTTCACCCGTTTTCATTCTGCTTTCTTTCATTCTTTAATTCTCCCTCTTCTTCTTTTTTAATTTCTTTCCCTTTCCCCCTAATTCATGCTTTTTTCTTCTTCTTTCTTCCGTCTTCCTTCTGCCTTCTCAGTGGTTGCTCTTTGCTCTTTGCTCTCTGCTCTTTGCTCTTTGCCTCTTTCTCGCAGAAGAGACAACGCGGCTAGTGCGGACAAGAGATCTTCGTCTGGCCATCGCACCTTCGGACGGTCAAGTGGTACCGCGGACCGGCGGTCGGACAGTCGGGCCCGACGCGTCTCGAGAGCGTGTGTGTGTGTTATCGGCCGTCCACATCAGCCCAGGCCCGGTTTGGGGCAGAAGCGCAGCAACAGGCTTGTCCAAGCGGATGGATGGCCCCCCTTCCCGCCCACTTCTTGCGACACTTGACAGACTAATTGGCCAGTTTGTCCGTTGCGCTGCTGCCGGACGAGTGGATTTCGCGTTGCTGCCTTTCGGACAACACTTTCGCTTGCGCCACCTCCACTTCGGCTTTGGCGATTGCGCTGCTCGTCGTCAAGTGTGCGCCCTTGAAGCCCTTCCTGATCCGTCCTAGTGGTAGGGCAGATATGATCGCGAGCTGCGCGACAACCAAGTGCCATTTTGCAGACCTCGTGAGCCCCGACCACTCGCTCTTGTCGTCTTGTCGATTTAGGCTTTTCTGGTGGTCTCGCGGTGTGTTGGTGTGTTGGTGTGTTGGTGTG